CATTTTTGGATTGGGATTTTGAATTTTGGGAGTCTAATCTTTTTTTTTAATATGTTCTAGACAGAAGTCCTTTGTCTGTGGGAGAAATGGCTAAGATTATTTTCCCAATTTGTGAGTTGTCTTTTCACTCTGTTGGAGATTTTTTTTTTTTTTTATATTTAAAACGGTCATGTTTAAGACGAGATCCCAGTTGTTGATTTTAGGAAGCATTTCTCATACAGTTTGATTTTTGAATTTTGTTCATGAACTCTGTTGCCTACCCTTATGTCTTCAAGGTTTCAAGGTTTCTATCCACTTTGTGTTCCAGCAGCTTTAATGTTTTTGTGTTAATATTTAGAGCTTTAGTCCATTTTGACGTTAGTTTAGTCCATGATGATAGGCATGGGTCTGATAGTTTTCAGCATGTAGAGAGCCAGTTTTTCCAGTACCACTTATTAAAGATGCATCTTTCTTCCAGTTTACATACTTGGGCCCATTCTCAAAAATAAGGTGGCTGCATATGTTTATAGTTGTGGTTGTATCTTCCAATCTATTCCACTGATCTTCAGGTCTGTTTTCACTCCAGTATCATGCTGATTTTATCACAGTATCTCTGTAGTATAATTTCAGGGATTGTGATGCCTCCTGCCTTGCCTTTGTTGCTTAGAATTGCCTTTGCTATTCTAGGTCTCTTCTGGTTCCAGATGAATTTTAGAAATTACTTCTTTAGATCTGTGAGGTATGTTAATAGTATTCTGATTGGAATTGAACATATATATATATATATATATATATATATATATATATATATTTTGAGAGAATGGCCATTTTCATATTTTTTCTTCCTATCCATGAGTAAGGACTGTTGTGCCATTTTCTGAAATCTTCTTCGAATTTTTTTTTCAGAGTACTGTGATTTTCAAAGCATAGATCTTTTACTTTGTTGGAATGATCCCTAAGTATTTCATTTTTGGGGTACTGTTGTGAATTGTGTAGCTACTTTTATTGCTCTCTCAGTGAGTTTGCTGTTTGTGTACAGGAATGCTATTCATTTCTAAGTGTTGACTTTGTATCCAACTATATTACTGAATTTGGTTATTACACCTAGAACTCTTTCAGTGGAGTTCTGTGGGTCTTCTATGTAGAGCATCGTGACATCTACAAATAATGATAATTTAACTTCTTTGTTTCCTATTTTCATTCCTTTTATTTCTTGCTCTTCTGTACTTGCTTTAGCTAATGCTTGCAGCACTATATTGAATAGGAGTGGTGACAGTTAGTGGGCATCCTTGTCTTGTTCCTGATTTTAGGTGATGTTAGGTTAAAGCTTTCAGCTTTGTTCATTTAGTAAGATGTTGGCTGTTGGTTTATTGTACATGGATTTTATTAGATTAATGTAAAGACCTTCTGATTTTCTATAGGGCTTTTATCATGAATAAGTGTTGGACTTTATCAAAAGCTTTTTCTGCATCTATTGAGATGATCATGTGATTCTTGTCCTCGGTTTCATTTGATATGCTGTTACATTTATTGATTTGCACATGTAGATACATGCCTGCATCCCTTAGATGAATCCCACTGGGTCAAAGTGTATAATCTTCTTGATGATTTGCTGCATTTTTTGCCAGTATTTTATTGAGGATTTTTTCATCTATGTTCATTAGGGAGATTGGCTTGTAATTCTCTTTTTTGGTTGCCTTTCTCTGATTTTGGTATTAGGGTAATACTTGCTTCCAGGAATGAGTTAGGGACAATTGCTTCCCTTTCAATTTCAAGGAATGTTGGCATTACATCTTCCTAAATTTCTTGTAGAATTCTGCAGTGAATCCATAAGGACCTGAGCTTTTCTTTGTTGGTAAGGTTCTAACTAAATTTTTAATTTCATTAAATGAAATTGGGTTATTCAGCAGTTTTACATCTTCTTGATTCAGCTGTGTAATTCATATATTTCTGGCAATCTGTCCATTTCTTTTGTGTTATTAAATCTATGAGAGTAAAGTTTTCCAAAGTAGGTATTCATGATCTTCTGTAGTTCCACGGGTCTATAATGATTTCATCATTTTTATTTCTTCTTGCACAAATTTGAGTTTTTTCTTTCCTCTGTTTGGTAAAGTAGGCTAGGGGTTTATCAATTTTATTTATTCTTTCAAAGATCAACTCTTCAATTCATTAATTCTTTGTATTGTTTTCTTGGTCTCAATTGCATTAGTTTCTGTTCCGATCTTTATAATTTCTTCTCTTCTTTTGGTTTTAGGCTTGACTTGCTCTTCTTTATCTGGTTGTTTGCGGTATAGTATGAAGTTTATGTTCATTCTCTTTTCCTGATGTGATAATTCACCATAATAAATTTCCCTTGGAGGACTTCTTTCATTGCATCCCACATGTTCCAGCAAGTTGCATTTGCATTTTACTTTGCTTGTAGATATTGTGTAGCTTCTTCTTTAATTTTCTCTGCAACCCAATGATTATTCAAGAGGATATTATTTAGTGTCCATGTGGTTATGGAGTTTTTGCAATTTCTTTGTCATTAATTTCTAATTTCATAACACAAGATCAGACAACATACCTGGGATAATTTTGATTCTTTTGCATTTACTAAAGCATGCTCTACGGGCTAGTATATCGTCTATTTTAGAGAATGTACCTAAGCTAAGAATGCAGCAAAGAAGAATTTATATTCTGATGTTGTTGGGTAGAATACTCTGTAACATCTACTGAGTGATCTGTTCACAGGTTTGATTCAATTCAATTATTTCATTGCTGATTTTTTGTTTAGTTGATCTGTCTCTTTGTATCAATGAAATGTTAAGGTTCCCCATAATGACTGTATTATTGCTTATTTGCTTTTCATGTCTATTAATATTTGTCTTACACAGCTGGATACTCTCATATTTGGTGCATATATATTTACAATTGCTATCTCTTCTTCTGGAAGTTTTCCTCTAACCAGAATGTAGTAAACTTCTGTATGTCTTTTTGATCATTGTTGGTTTGAAGTTCACATTGTCTGCAAATAGAATAGCTCTTCCTGCTTTTTTCTGGGTTCGTTTTGCATGGAGTACTATTTTCCATCCTTTGTCTTTCAGTCTATGAATTACCTTTTGAGTTAAATATGTTTCTTGCCTAAAGCATTTTGTTGGATTTTGTTTCTTAATTCACTCTGCCAGTCTCTTTTTTGTTTTTTTTTTTTTTTTTTTTTTGATTGGTGAATTGAGGCCATTTACACTAATGGTTATAACTGATATGTATTGGCTTATCTTTATCATGTTATCTTTCTGTTGTTGGTTCCCTACTCTTATCTTTCTGTTGAACAGCTTGTCCTACTTCCTGGTTGCTTGTTCTGTTGTTGTTCTTAGAATTTTCATCATTTTTATCTCTTTATAGAATATCTTTCAGTAATCTTTGTGGTGCTGGTTTGGTTGTCATGAAGTTCTTCAGTTGTTCTTTGTTGTGGAAGTATTTTATTTCTCCACCAATTTTGAAAGAGTTTTGCAGGGTATATCAATCTGGGGTGGAAGTTGTTTTTTTTTTCAGTACTTGAAATACTTCACTTCATGCTCTTCTTGACTTGATAGTTTGTGTTGGGAAGTCTGCTGTGATTCTGATAGGCTTCCTTTATAGGCGATCTGTTCATTTTTTCTAACAGCTTAATATTCTGTTCTTATGATGAATGACTGGGATCTTGATTATTATATGTCAAGGTATAGATTTATCTTAGTTATGGCAAATTGGAGTTCCATGTGCTTTGCTTATCTGTATGTCTGGTTATATTCCCATGTTTGGGAAATTTTCTGATATTTGTATGCAAATAATCTTTTTATGTCACTTGCATTGCCTCCTATTTCACTGACAACTATCAGATTATGTTTCTCTTTGTATCACCTTACAGCTGTTGAGTTGTTATTTCTTGAAGCTTTGTTATTTTTAAGAGCAGTTGGGGTCACTAGTCACAATCGTGTCTTTGAAGTTGAGAGTCTGTCTTCCATTTCATTCATGCAGTTTTGTCATGTTTTAAGAGTTTTTATAGATTGTAGCATAAAATTTTATGTTATTTTTCAAAAATAAACAGAAATTAGTAAAATAATCTGAACTTACTAAATTTCACTAGAAACAAACATCAAATACAATGTTCTAAATTAATAAGTATGCCAAAAAAAAATGAACACAAAACAAAAAAGCTAAATGTATCTCCTGCAAGCAGAATCAACTGGTTGAAATGACACCTGCCCAAGTGATACTTGGAATACTTAGTATGTGAACAAACATACCAATGTGTGATGCTTATGATTATTAAGTGGTTAAAAATCAGGGAAACAAAACAAGACACATTGTTATATTTAGAATTTTCTGAGAAGTCCACTAATTATTTCCTAGTTTTTAACTCTTTCATATCATATCTTCAAAATCATTCTTAAAGAAGTTAAGTGATTTTTGGTTTTTGTTTTTAAAAACATTTATTTTTATCAGGATGAACCATCACATACTTGTAACTATTACTCAAGTTTTTATGGGTTATTTTTATATTACATATGGATTTTTATCTCTTAGGCTACTATTGAACAGAAAAAAGAGAAAACCATATAACAGCTTTTCCATTTCTTACCAGGATCCTAATGTAAATTGTGTGATTATCACTAAGATTCATTCATGGTAGAGATAAAAAACAAAGACTACTGTCTTCAACTTATATTTATGATATTGCATTTAAACCTTTAAAGGCATGTTAACATTAGCAAGAAATTAACAGTAAAATTAATTTTAACTCTGGAAGATGAAGGATGATTTCCACCTTTTGCTTTTTTTGGGGGGGGGACAGAACAAACTCATGCTGCTGAGGTAAATCCGCTGCTTTTTTTTTTTTTTTTTTTTTTTTTTTTGGTTTACAACTTTTGAAAATCACTGTTTTTACTGTGTCAGATGAGATGAAAGATTAGTCAGATGTGGTTAAGTATGCATGGGGTTGGCTATGCCCACAGTGTTCATAAATTGCAGCACTGAGTACTGAAGTTAGCAACACTCACCTTAATTGCTTGGTCCTCACTGTAATTCATTAAGTAATCAGAACTTGCTATACATTTTCTGCATTTCCAGCAATGAAGAATACTTATTTCCTCTTCATTGTGATGTTCAGTTATCAATTCTTGACTTCTTTTCATCTGTAGGAACATTAATATGGTGTTAAAATGTCAAATAAACTCAATTTCCTAATTCTTAGTAGAGCAGTAGCTACAAGAAAAGTAGGGAAGAATTATCATTTGTTGTCCTCCAGGGTCCCCTCCACTTTCTGTCCTGACCCAAAATCACAAAGTGACTTGATTGCTCTGTGTCTCCCAATAGGTTTGAATCCAAGCAGGGAACTTGAACACTCCCTAGAATAGATAAAGCTGTTTATGCTGTTGCCCAAAATATTGAAAGAAACTAGCCCTAACTTTGAGCCAAAATTCCATAAGTCCTTGTTGTAGTCAGGGTTTACTAGGGAATAGATTTAATACAGGATACATAACTTATAGGATTTATAATATTAACCCCAAAATTCAAACTCAAAAGATTGCCAGAAATCTGTCCACATGCTAGAGACCTAAAGAATGCAGCTGAGGGCCTGAATCTCACAGCAACGTACTTCGTGAGTTCAACTGAGGCCTAGAGCCCACAATAATGACTCACTTAAGTCTCTATCAAAGATCTGCATTAGGAAGGACAAATGGTCAGTGATGGAAGCTAGCAGACCTGAAAGATGAAAGATCTGTGCCAGAAGACTGAGCAATATGCACTGTAGCCAGGAGACACTTAAAGTAAGGACCAGGATTCCCCCAAAGAGAACCATAGCCATCCTCAGTAACAGTAAGGACCTGAGCTCCACCCACAATGAGAACAGCTGAGTTCATATCAGCACAAGCTGATATGACAGGCTTCTCCAGGAGAATCAACATTACATCATCTTCCCCTCTAGTTCTGCTTCCATGATGTTGGCAACAATTGTCAAGTGGGCCATCCACACCCAAAACTATGCTTATTCACTTCAGCTGGGTGTTACATGTTGACCATTAGATAATCTACCACAGCCTTCATAAATGGATGTCTCATTATTGACATACCTAGGTAGAATACTCCTTTTCTTTTGTTCTCTACACTGAGAATAAGCAGCAGCTTCTATAAATCTCCCTAATAACATTCTTTAGATTTATCATCTCGGAGTGAATGCTTCTTTCTTTGCAATCCCAACTGGCTCTATCTCTGAATACACTCTTGTGGGAACTTTTCTATACTGAATTTGGGGTGACTCCAACACCAGGTTTAGTGAGATTGAAGAGGTACCTGCTAGTTACTAGGTCTTAGACTAGAGGCACTCTACAAATATGTCAGAAATGGAAAATTCCATTTAATTATGATGATCACACATCATGTTAGTGACAGCCAGATTATTTTTAAAACATATATTTTATGTGTATTATTTTCCATTTGTCTCACCAAAATGATAAGAAGTCAATTCAAGAAGTTGCTGCAGTAATTTAAAGTTGACAAAGAAATATAAATAATCATGTATGTAGGATATTTTGAATAGCTACAGCAATAAATCTTAAATACAAAATGAGTTGGTTTTTAAGTTTATTTTTTGAAAACAAAAAGTGCTTAATTTAAGTTTATGGCAGAAATCCTTATCTTAATGCAATAATTTCTCCTTCATATTATACTCAGTGGAGTAGTTCACATCTTGTGATATATATGTCAAACAATAAAACAATGAATACCCCCACAAATTTTTTTAGTTTATTTTTATATGTGAGCTTTTATGATTGACTCAGATCAGTTTGGGATAACATTCTCATACTATAGTATACATAAGGATTCCAAAATAGATACAGTGCATTTATTCATTTACCTATTTTTATTTTATGGAAAAAAAGTGAAACAAAATTTCATAACACAAGTAATAGAAGAACATTGAGTATTGGTATTTTTAAAGTAGTTACTCAGAGTACAAGATATAGGCATAAAAAATTCTCCAAATTATATTAGCACAAGTCTTTCTTTTCAATGAACTAAGAGAAAGTAGTAATAAAACTGTCTTGTATTTTGTTTTTTTCCTTTTCCCTTCCTTCCTTTCCCCTTTCAACAACGCTAGTTATTTTTTTCTTTTTGAATAATTTCTTCTTATTTCACAGTATCTACTGTACATTTTAGACCTTACTCTTTCACTTTCTCACACTAGGAAGACAGTACAGTGTTTACACATGTGAGTCTGATTTACTTCACTTATGAGTATGGTCTCTAGTTGCATCCATTTACCTATAAGTCTCAAGTTTTCTTTATGTGTGAGTTACTACATTAAAGTAACATTCCATTAAAAAAATGTCTTTTTTATCCACTCCTAGGTTTTGAGCATTTGGGTTGTTCCCAAAATTTAGCTATTGCAAATTGTGCTACTATAACCATGGGTGCATATATACCACTGTGGTATGTTGTTTTTATTTCCTCTGGGAAGATACCCAGAAAGGGAATAGCTGGATGGAATAGGACCTCTAATCCTAGTTTTTTGAGAAATCTCCATACTGATTTCCATAGTGGTTGCACCAATCTGTACTTCCACTAACAGTGGAAAAGGGATCCTTTTCCCAAACAACCCCTCCAACATTTGTTATTGGTGATTTTTTGATGACAGCTATTCTTTCTGGAGATGAAATTTCAGAGTTGTTTTAATTTGTATCTCTCAAATGAATAACAACATTGAAGATTTTTTTCATATACTTATTCGTCATTTGTATTTCTTCCCACAGAAGTGCCTTTTCACCTCAGATGCCCATTTATGAATGGATCTTTGAATATGGGTGTCTTTTTTTCTCAATTCTTTATATGTTCTAGGTATAAATCCTTTGTCTGAGGGAAAATTGGTTAAATATTTTCCTACTCTGTAGTTTGCTTTTCACTCTATTGGTGAATTATTTTGATATGCAAAAGTTTTTATTAAGATCCCAGGTGTTGATTACTTGAAGTATTTCCCATTTTGAAGTATTGGTCTGCGTTTTGTTCATGAACTATCTGTCTACACCTATGTCTTCAAGACTTCTATCTACATGATGAACTATCAAAAACTTAGTAGTATGAATAATTTGTGCTGTCATCTGTTCATTTTTTATGCTTTGATTTTGTAACTTGAACAACTACTTCTAAGATAACAATATGTGATATATCAACTAGTGATGATTTCTTAGTTATTTTTAAAAATTCTGTATCATTTCTACCCTTTATTCTGTTTTGCTTTTTTTTTAAATGAAAAAAATATTTCTACTTACTCTCCTTGCCAGTAGATTCAGAGTGTCTGCTTTAATAGTTTGATCTTTGATTTATTTTGACTTTAATTTAGTGTGTGGTGATAGTTTTAACCTTTGGCAAGTGGAAAACCAGTTTTTCCAGCATCATTTATTAAAGAAACCATCTTTCTTCCAGTGAGCATGTTTGCCCTCTTTGTCAACGATAAGTTGGCTCAGTGTGTATGAAATTATCTCTGAATATTCTAATCTATTCCACTGATTCTCACATCTATTTTGTTTGTTTGCCAGTACCATGCTGGTTTATCACAGTAACTTGGTAGTATAATTTCAAACCAGGAATTTGGATGCCCCCTGCCTTGCCTTTGTTGGCCAGAACTGCTTTTGCTATTCTAGGTCTTTTTGTTTCCAAATGACTTTTAGGAATGTTCTCTAGCTCTGTAAGGTATGCTAATAGTATTTTACTCAGGACACATTGTGTAAGTTGCCTGGTGACTGGTCATTATTAGCTAAGTTAACTTATTAGGCTACCCACCAGGGATTACCTAGATCCAAATGTCATGGGCTACCTGACATTTCCTCATTTGTTTGTTCTTGCATTTCTCATTCATAAAATATTAAAAGGCAGTAATATGCTAAAAAATAAGTCAAACTCAGGGAACATGGAGTGAGTGAAATATTTTCTGCATTAGAGGTGCTCATTATGCTTTATAGAGATCTAGAAGTTTTAAAAAATTAAGCCAGGCATGGTTGCATAAGACTGTAATACCAGCATTTGAGAGGCTGAGGCAGAAGGATGCTGTGAATTCAAGGCCAGCCTAGGTTAGCTACATAGTGAGTTTGAGACCAGCCTAAAATACAAAGTCAGACTATCTCAAAAAAAAAAAAAAAAAAATTAACTTTTAAAAGGCTTAAAAATTAGTGATACCTAGGTTTTACTCCAAAAATTTTGACTCATTCTGAGATGGTGAAAATGTTAGGAATAAGTACTTAAAACAAAACAAAAAAAACTTCCAAGGTAATTCCATGATGTAGGTAGGGTAAAGATGGAAATGTATGTATATAAACAACTAACTAAAATGCATAGCTATAAGGAGTATGAAAAAGAGGACATAGAAAGACCATTACTAAATTTAATGAATTTAAGGAAACCAGTTGGGGAAGGAATAACATGCTAGTCCTGCAATCAATCCCAAACTGACCTTCTAGTGCTAGGCTGCAAATCTGTGTCCAGTGCCTCATGTTCAGAACCCATCTTTGCCCACCTAACAACTGTATTTAAATTATAACCTGAATAATCATCAAATTAGACAGCTTTACCATCTTTCTTCATTGCAAAGTACTCACCTTTCTTACATAACTTCTTTAGCACTTCTCTTGTTGTAGGGAAGCTGACCTAGTTAGAAATATTATAGGCAGTCAGATAGGGCTGGGCCCTCAAAGAAGCTGGCACAGAGGACTAGATGCCTTGTGACCTTGGAGGAGACACACAACTCTTGCTGTGGGTCAGATCTCAAAACAGAAGGCAAAACAAATGCAACCACACCCTTAAGTATAAACTTTAGGGATTAGGTATGGATTACTTTGAGAAGCCATGTCACCATCTCAAAACCCTACAGAAAAGTCACTGATCTGTAAAGAATGCCCATTTGCGACATAACTCGCATCCCATTTGTCCCTGATTTGGTCAATTTTACCTGAACAATTAAACTTATTGGTTGACTATAGCTTGTCCCACCTCATGCCTGTCTGCTGTGTGATTTCTCAGTTTTCTTCACTTTACACCCACCTCACCTCATGGTTATACTCTACAAAAATCCCTAGAAAATACAGAATCTTTGGCAACCCATTTGCAATCCTTTCTGTTTCTCTCTCTTAGAAGCTTTCTT